CCCACACACACACAGAGAGAGACGCGGCATGTACGCGCGAGTGCGTAACGCGGTGCGTAAAGAAGAAGGTGCACTCCTTCGGTACTCGCTGCTCAAGTACTGTGCTGCTCAAGTACAAAGTGAAAGCGCTCGTGCCGTCGCTCGTCGGCAACGTTTAAACACACTTAGCTCACTCACCGAATGATTCTGGACGGATTGCGTTTTCGTCACCATCTACATATAATCAAACAGCACCAGGTTTGAGAGTGTCGGTGACAGGCGCGAAAGCGTCGCGAAATCGCGCTCCCTCCCTTCCCCCCCCTGCGTCCCGCTCGCTGGGAATGGTCGCGAGGCGGAAAGACACGGTAGCTCAGAGATAGCTCTCGATAGACTAACGCGTAGCTCGCATGAGAGCGAGGAAGAACTGTCCCTGTTTCTCTAACGAATTTGCACGTCTAGATTCGACGTGCCCGGACGCGAGATTCCGCGCCGCCCTTCGCGTCAGACGAGCGGAATTTCGCGAGACATCCGACACCTTTGAGGTGACGTTCCGATATCTGCGCGATAAATGCCAGTTGATGGAAACACCGTGGAAACTTGTCTACTCACTTTCGCCGTACTCCCGGACGCGAAGCTTCAGGACGTCCCTGGCCGCCGGCAGGAAGAGGGTATCGTTGCTCATCTCTTTCAACTTGGCCATCGTGTACGCCTGATCCGCTATTACGAGATGTCGCTCCAATATCTGTTTCGTCTGCAAACGAATTATATAAAAAAATGCGTACGACATATATTTATTAGTTAGACGCGCCCTTCCCGAAATTCCCCTTGGTACAGCCGACTCCAGCCATCGCATTTTCAGAAAAATAATGGAAATGTAAATTTCAAATTTGTCCGCGGACTCGAAGACTCGAAAATGGGAAGGTAGAACCATTTTAAAATTTAAAGATCCAACAAGACAAGAAGATTAAGTAGGATGTACGATTCTCCGACGATGGGAATAATCTTGGATATAAAAGTTTAAGGTAGCGGTACGCATTCGGGGAGTTTACTCACGTGATAACTGTAGTCGGGCATGAAGAGCTTCTTAGTGGTTGACGGATAGTTGTTCTCCGCGTCTTTCCAGGCGTAATCGAGCGGGGCGAAGTACGTGAACCGTTTCGTCGTGTCGTTCAGCTGATCATTGAATCCACGTCGCTGGCCCAGGAAGTAGGTCGAGCTGAAAAAGACAGGGAGAAACATCGGACGATCAGTTTCATGTTGATGAAATGCCGGCGATTTCGCGGGGCAATTTCCGTGGCGGAGGCAGTAAATAATACCTCATAATGCCTCATCCGCATCGCTCAAATCGTTTTTAATTGAATCGGGGGCGTGCAAGATTAAGCACCGCGCGCAAATTTTTCAGCGGCGAGGATTGCGAGAGAGTTAGACCGTGGTGATAACAACGCGATGTTTACTCTATCCTCGCTTTATCCGGAGGCTCTCACCTTCGCGCTACCTCTTACGGGATTTAATCCGCCCTCTACTACGGGGGTTGATCTCTCCGCTCTTTATAAAACCGCCGACCCCGCTCGTCGTACCTTGAGACTGTACCTGCGGAGAACTCTACTCCCGTCCATGGGGATATCAATTATAATTTTAAATCAGGAGATAATCCACACAGCTTTCTTCGCGCGGAAAGCTGCCGACGGTATGACGAAGCACGATTGTTGGCCGGCTATTTGGATCAGCGTACATAAACAATCTTCCACCCGGAGAAGCTTGGTACGACGCTGCATCTCGGACCTCGTGAATCCTCGGGATCTAAATGTTCATCGAATTTCGAGAATTTTTGCAATTTGTTACATGTGGTCCGTAATTCTTAAGATCATTTTTTTCTGTAAATACCAAAATTACAAACGTAATTCCGAAGCATTCTAGGATTTTTTTTTTTACATTTTCTAAAATTTCCATATCGATCGCCCACCAATTGATGCTTCTGCTTCTTGGATCGTGGTCGTTTCCGGAAAATCGCACATATCTCGGGGAATCTTCCGGATTCTGGGACGATGCCCGGAGTTAAACGGGGCGAGTCTAGATGCAGTCGGAAGTACGACGAAAACCCCCTCGGTACGTTCCAACCCGGTAATCTTGCCGAGTGAGTTTATTTGTTTTTTGCCTGGCGTTTCGAGTGCCAACCGTTAAATTGGACAAGGAGGCAATATCGGCGCGCGCGGGGAAAAGGGGAGAGGGTGCGCCCGGCTACGAATTTAATAGGTACGACGTGGTGCCCTGCGGAACTATGCAATTCCGGGCGTAAGACACACTCCACGGTTATAGTTTTTTATGTCGACGGCACCGGGCCGGGTCGACGAGGTCCGCGGTAATTGGAATGGGGATTTGTTGCGTTATTTTAATTAAATTCGAACGCGAGCGCGAGGGAAGGAGAGGCGCGGGCGAGAAGAAGGTTTGCGTCGGGGTCACGTGCAGATAAGATTTTCTTTCGGGAATGAATAAGGCGTGGTGTGTCTTGGAGAGATCGTATCTACACGTGGGTGGAAGCTCACACACGTGTGTTCGTGACCGCGCCCACGTGTATCTGAAAACGAATGCGAGGAAGCATCCCCGCAATTACCGAGATAGAGCTACTTTTCTCGCCGAGGATAAATCGTTCGGTATATCATCTCGTTGCGCGAACAGAAAATCGGGAGTCCTATATTTTATTCCTACGGCAGGAAGGAATACGAAATAGGGCGGAAATTCTTCGGCGCAGCGATTTGCATAATTCCTGTTTACATTACTCGAGAACACACGTAAAATTAAAGATTTAAACGGCACGAAAGCGTGAAATTCGTAGAATTAAACGGAATTACAAGTTGTCTCGGGGTATCGGAATGGACGTGTAATGGACGTTACATTCACTTACACATTTCGTCCGTCGACATTTCATTTTTTTAAGATGTATATATATATATATATATAAAACTGGTTTGTGCGACGTGTTTGAGATCTTTCATGAAATCGTTCTCTCGATGATCCGTGCCGCTTTGCATAAAGATGAATAAAGATGAAGAAGAAGATAGGAGGACTCACTTGAGCATCGGGTCGGTTCTGAGTTTGTCGAGTACGGTGGTGTAGGGCACTCCGAGAAGCCTGTCGATTATATGGATAATCCCGTTGGTGGCGGCGATGTTGGGGGTGATGATGGTCGCGTTGACGCCGCCGCCCTCGACGGTGACGGTCTGGTTCTGCCGCGGTCCCTGCATCACGTTGAAGTAGAGCTTCTTCTTGTCGGCGGCGGTCTGCACCTGAAAGAATCCGAGCGGAAAGTCCGTGAAAGAATGTTCGCGGCGTGATGGCACGTGGGTCACGCGCGCCGCCCTAAAAGGGTTACACGTCGAAACTGCGCCAAAGGGTAAAAGAAGAAAGAGAAGACAGGTAAAAAGATGTGCTCTTCTTGTTGAACTTCCTCGCGCACAAAGAACTCATGGAAAAGATGCTAGGCACAGCAAATAAGCCAAGTGCTTCGAAGGCGCACGATTCGAGAATAATTCATCGAGTGAGTCTCCAACGAGATTTTAATTAATGTAATTTCAATTTTTTTTTTAATAACACAGATTATACAAATTTTAATTATACAAATTATATGTGATTTGTATAATTAAAAAAAGATTGCAAGCGGTGAGCAAAAAGGTTCAAGCGAGATATCTTTCGAGATGATCGAGCATGACCTCGCGCCTGTAACGCCTTCGAAGGATTGGCACGTAAATCAATTTCGTGCACGAAGGAGCTATCACATACGCTCGCACACTTAGACTTTGCAATCGGAGAGAGGACAGAAACTAAAAGTTATGCGCGTTTCCGTTTGCTCAGGAAGTTTTCCGCGCTTAGAGGTGAAACGGAGGATCGAAGTCTCTATACTTGGCAGTTAAAAGTACAAATTTCGACACAGAGTTACGATACATGCGAGCACAGAGAGTCACGACATGATGAATACAAGTTAATAAATATCGATGGGACACCGAGGAGAACCCGATGAGGAAAGTTTGCAAAGATTAACGAGTCATGCTTCGGATTGTCATCTATGTATTAATTGCATTCCGCATTATTTTTGATTACCTTTGCTCGACAGAATGGTTTCCCTGTAATCGCCGAATCGCGTTTCGTCTTTGAGGCTCGCGTGAAAAATAACACGGACGGCGCTTTGTGAAAGTAAACGTATTTATTATACCGCGAATTACGACGTCAAAGGGACGCCATTAGCGCGACAATCTCCGGATGAAAATCGCGCGATCGCCGAGCACTTCCGAGTGCGCGATCCGCTTTCTTACGACGGACACGAAATTTGATCTTGAAAGACAACCACCCTGGGGTGTCCTGGCGCGGCGTGACGATAAAAGAGCGAAACGAATCCCTTCGATCCGCTCCGGATTATCCGGACGATGCGGCGTACGTCGTGCTTCAGCCAGACAGTGCGAGTCTTTAACTTGCAAATATCGTCCGGATTGCAAATCGACACACTCTCTCTCTTCCGGGCTGCTCGCCCCCCTATCGACCTCCCCCCCCCCGTCTCTTTCTCTCATTCGCTCCTCGATCGTTGATGGAAAAGCTCGGTATGAAGAGCGCCACAACGATCCCTTTTCCGGCTGATCCAGCTCTCATGAATTTCCCGGCGTGCACTCAGAGCTACTTCCGGTTACTTTCCTGACGTTCATCCGTGCTCGAGATTCACCGCTGAGAGAACTGAGGAACTGTGTACGGGATGTTTCAAGAAAGGTAATCGGAGCATATTTTTAAGATTACGATGTGAGCCTTCGGGTCCGGAGTACCATATGAGAATAAGTTTAGATGTTGAGTCTTACGTTGTCAAGTATTTATACGATGTCTAGGTTACATTTTTAGGGATCAACAAATTTCTATCTGAAGATAAATTTCAATAAAATATCAAAACGGGAAATGGCATGTCATTGCTTTTAATCATAAATTTTATTAGCTTATTAGCCTATTAGGATTCTGGTTGTATCGAATGCATTACGCAATGCATTACGAAATTTGATTTACAAATTTGCCTCGTCGTTTTGACAGAAATATTCCATGAATAAATAAAATGTTTTGCTGTACGGTTGATTTAATGTTTTAAGCTGCTTTCCACTTGAAGGTGAGACGCTTTTAATTTTATCGAGGTATAAGAAGAGAACTTTTAAGCGCCTATGCGATCGTTGTTGATAAGCGCTCGGCACTTCCGATACGCCTACGCAATTAATTTCTTATCCGTGTTCAGCCCTTCGACGGTCGCTGTTATCAATTAGCCGCGCATAAAACTACAGCACAACTTTTATTTGCGCGGGGAATGATGTCGAATAAATTAATTACGAATGTGTAGGTCGTAACGGAATAAATTGCGTTTCTGAAGCGGGAAAAGAAAAGCGAGGGAAAACGACGAGGGAGATTGAAATTGATTTGTCTATCTCTTTTCGGAGTCGGTCTGAAATCCAGACGAAATTTATATGTGTGTTTTATCAATATCGGAAAATCATCTTTGTGAGTCAGATTTATCAAGAAAACTGATATAACCGGACTACTCGCGTAATTAAAACTGAAATGAAGCTGTGCCAGAAATTTGAGAATCCTAAAAAGTAGATAATTTAAAATTCAAGGATTTGAGGTGAGAAAACTTGAAAAATATAAAGATCTTAAAAGGTAGAATTTCTACAATGCTGCAATTTCTGCAATTTCAAGCAATATTTTTGGGACGCTTAGACCATTTATTTAACCCGGTATTTTAAGCGAAATTATAGATCTTTCGTACTGAGAAAGAAAGAGGAGGGAATGGAGAGAGAATCTTTAAACTGATGAACTTTAAATAACGCCTGTCTAAAATGTGAACACGAAACGGGGGAAATTGAGGGGCGAGGAGGAACAGAGGAGAGGAGTACTTTTGCGGCGGTATCGCGAATAAAATTGAATTTTACGTCGCGACCCACCCCGACACGTTTCGCGGTGCCTCCTCTGCCGGAGTGCTTTATCATTTCATCAGCGTATGAGTGGCTCTTCCGAGGCGCGCACGCGGTGGCACGAAGCATGAAAGCGGTGTAAAACATATCTCGAACGATAAATTAGTCCGCGGGTGCGGTGCTTAATGCAAATCGGACTAGATAAAAAAGGGAAAGAGAGAAAGAGGGAAAAAGAGAGAGAGAGACGGAACATTGAAAGAAACGCGTATGTTTGACGCAGCGCGTAAAAGATATCTTCGTGCGTGCGTGCGTGCGTGCGTGCGTGCGTGCGTGCGTGCGTGCGTGCGTGCGTGCGTGCGTGCGTGCGTGCGTGCGTGCGTTCGTTGATGCAAAGTATATTTTTCCACGGGGATGGCTAGCTTATCATACTTTTGAAACGGCGGTCATTAATTATATTTTCCCTTTCGGCCTCGACGTAGTCGAGCACGACTTAATGCAAATTGGTCTTGTCGCGAGCGGAAAGAACTATATCCATCGTCTCTTGTCAAAGAAGTGAGTGTGACGTTATATAGCACGTTTCGGATACATTTTTGCGGTTTCAATTCGCTTTAAACGGATGCTTAATTGTCTGTATTACCGAAAGAATAGAAGCGAAATTTTTCGTGTTAACTTTTTTATATAATATTATTATAGATTTGGAAATTTTTTCACAGTTTATTAAAGTTTATGCATTAATATGTGTCTACCATGAAATTCCTGTCAAGAACGAAAGAATTTTTTAAATTTAAATTTAATTTCTTTTTTTTTCACTTTCTATTTTAATATGGTTCAGAGCTGTCAAGTTGCATTAATATTTGCTTTGTATAAAAATTTTGCAACCTGTACCTACAAAATTGATATCGCTAAACTAGAAGATTACATGAAGAAGCAACATTAAATTTTTAGAATTAGGCTTAAATATGTGATGTGACACAAAATAATGATACATGAAAATTTGTTTGTGTGCACAAATGTACGTATGTATCCGTACGTATGTTCAGACGTGCATATGTGTGGGTGCTTTCGTCGGAGTTCGTTCGTCTCTCCGGAATCTACTTTAAGTCAGAAATTTAAATGACCGAAGCCGATTCGCCAGCGAAACTAAACGAGGCGGGGGATGAGGAGAGGGTTTTGAAACATCCTAATCAACGCGGTCGGTCACGCGGTGGCGGCCATGCGAAAATGTCACGCCGCGCAGGAACTGCGCGTTGTTTCCGATTAAGGGCGATTTATCCTTTGTTTACCGTGATTAATATATACACCGTTCCGTAGTGCATGAGGCTCGACAGAGAGTCAATATTGGTACGCACGTCCGTGCGGTGCGTACGGCGCAGTAAATAACGGCCGATATTACCGATCGATGCACCGTGTAACTACCAGCAATTAGCGAATCGGCATTAGCGCACCTGTTTCGTAGCGCGCAGGCGCGCGAAGGGCGCTTTTATGATAATCCATTCGCAAATTAATTAATAACGCCTCGATCCCTGTCGCACGCTCAGCTACCGCAACGGGTATTAAATCGTATCGTTCTCGCCGTTTCCCATTTTTTCCCGCGGATTCAGACAGTGAATTCGAAAGAATCTGATTCGAAACGCGTGACCTCTCGACCGTTCCAGCAAGGGCGAAACGAACGCGACGATCGTGGATCATATTCTTTCATCGCTCCCGGCCGAATGTTTATTTATACCGATCGAATGTTAATTTATTAACGAGTGGATGGAGTAATTAAAGCCAACATCCCGTATTGACGTTGCTGAATGATTGAAGCGGCTCGATGGATATTGAAGTGTAATTAGCTGTATCGGAGATTTTGCGTAATTGGGTTCATAGGGAATCGATGTTCCGGACGGCATGCGGAACGATCGAGATATCCGCGAGTTGTAGCTAGCTAGTTTGTAGCCGCTGCTAGTTGCAATTATTAATTTT